ACATAATCACTGAATGGAACTAAGACTCTAATCTGATTATAAATACCTATGTCACAAACTCAATTACTAAAGTATCAATTCCCATGTGTCTGGTGAGTCTACCATCCAGCTCCTCCTCCATAAAATAATACAAAACACTATCAAATGTTATACTAAATTCCCCCAGGTATCCTTCAAATGGCATAAAAAACACAGAAAACAAGTGTACATGGGCTCTCCCACCCTGCCTTGCCTCCATGCCCCAACCCCCCCCCTCTCTCCTTCTCTCTCACTCACCAGTTAGAATGGCCATCATCAAGAAGAAAGAGAGAAATGTTGGTGAGGATGTGGAGAAGTAGGAACCCTTCTGCACTGTTGGTGGGAACGTACATTGGTACAGCCACTATGAAAGACAGTATGGCAGTTCCCCCCAAAATTAGAAACAGAACCACCATATATATGAGTTAGTAATCCCACTTCGGGGTATTTAGCCAAAGAAAAACACTAATTTGAAAAGGTATATGCATCCCCATGTTCATTGCAACATTATTTACAATAGCCCAAGATACTCAAACAACCCAAGTGTCCATCAATAGATGAATGGATAAAAAAAAAAATATAGTGAAAATATATATAATGGAGTGTTATTAAGCCACGAAAAAGGAAGACATTCTGTCATTGGCAACAACATGGATATCCTTTTGAACTCATTAGGCTAAATGAGAGATGTCAGCCAGACGAGCACTGTGTGGTATCACTTATGTGTGAAATTTTAAAAAGTCAACGTGTGAAAACAGAGAATAAAATGGCAGTTGCCAGGGGATAGGAGATGGGGAGGACCAAAGAGATGTCGTTTAAGGGTACAAACTTTCAACAAGTAGTAAATAGACTCTAGAGATGAAACACATAGTACCTTGAGGATAGACAACAGTATTGTATTATAATCATGAGACTTGTTAAGACACTAGAACTTAATTATTCCAACTACTAAAAAGAAAGGATAATGATGTAATGTGACAGAGGTGCTAATTATCACTACAACTGCAACCATATTACAATATGTAAATGTATCAAATTAATGTGTCATACACCTTAAGTTTATCCAATGTTATATACCAAATAAATTTCAATTAAAAAAAAAAAGAAAGAAAGAAAGAAAGAAAGAAAGAACGAACGAACGAACTCTGGGCTCACCACAGCTGGCTGGCTTGCAAGTAAGGTTCTTAGAAATCTCTTTTTAAAAAATAAACTTTCAAAAATGTTTCCACTGAGAAACATTCATTGTGCAATCAGTAATTTAATTGGCAAAGACACCAAATTCGTCAGGTTCAGGAAAGAAAAATGAGGCTTCCCTACACAAAGGATTCTGACAAACACAACAAAGGAGGACTCTATTAACTTGAATTCCTTCTCAAAGAAATGAATTCAAAGTAAACGCCACCAACAAACTGAAGATTGAATTAAATGTCGTCACATAATAAACAAGATGACAGGGTGCACTAAACAAACAAGGTTTACAAGGTGTACAGGAAGTATAGAGAGCCATGTAATTTACACATCGGGATACCTCCACAGTTAAAATATGCCTAGATTGCTTCAGATTCTGTGTCCCCCTCTTGTGCTCTGTCTCTCTCAAAAATAAACAATAAAATTTTTTTTTTTTTTTAAAAAAAGGGGATGCCTGGGTGGCTCAGTCAGTTAAGCATCCAACTTCAGATCAGGTCATGATCTCACGGTTCGTGGGTTCGAGCCCCACGTCGGGCTCTGTGCTGGCAGCTCGGAGCCTGGAGCCTGCTTCGGATTTTGAGTCTCCCTCTCTCTCTGCCCCTCCCCAACTTGGGTGGGCTCTCTCTCTCTCACTCTCTCTCTCTCTCTCAAAAATAAATAAACATTAAATTTTTTTTAAAAAATATGCCTAGATGTTAAATCCATCTCTAACGTCAAAATAGTAGCTATCTGGCTCTGGTGACTGAGAGGGAGCTAAGAACCTTAAAGCCTCCCTAAAATTTTGCCGTCAAAAGTATCCCAAGTTAGTCCATATCTCTGGAGTTTTTCTTGAAACTGACCACTGTTGTGAAGATGAGGCAGTACAGAGAACTTTCTCCCGGAGTGGCTGCCTGCGATGTATCAGCACACCTTCCACTCTAGGGAGGGCCCACCAGTCACCAGGGCTCTCCTTTGTCCATCCCCTTAGGAGGGAAATTGCAAAGTAATCTTGGACTTGTCTCTTTCATCCAGTCGATCCACAAGCCCTGTTGATTTTGCTCTCTTACATCCATTATTTCCCTTCCTCTCTGAGTCTGGTCCTTATCACATGAAGGCAGTATAGTCTCCTTGCTTCAATCTCTTTCCCTACCAACCGCACACACTCTCACACACACACACACTCACACACACGTGTGTGCACACAGGCATTCAATTACTCCTACCTAAAAACTGCTTTCATTTTATGTCCCAGCTTTAAAAAATGATTTCCTACTATCTACATGTTACATAAAATGTATCCACTTGTCATTCATAAATCTCCATAATCGTTTTTCTTAAATTTTTTTTTCAACGTTTTTATTTTTATTTTTGGGACAGAGAGAGACAGAGCATGAACAGGGGAGGGGCAGAGAGAGAGGGAGACACAGAATCGGAAACAGGCTCCAGGCTCTGAGCCATCAGCCCAGAGCCCGACGCGGGGCTCGAACTCACGGAGTGCGAGATCGTGACCTGGCTGAAGTCGGACGCTTAACCGACTGCGCCACCCAGGCGCCCCTCCATAATCGTTTTTCAAATCCCTTTCACTCTACAATGCAATGGTCATTTATTTTAACCAAACTGCCCTTCTGCTTCTAAAATATAACTTAAGCTTTTCAGCTTGCCCATACGAGCTTCTCTTTCCATCATTTTCTTCCTCCTACTTCAACCTGCCCAGCAAATCTTCCAATAGAGCAGCGTCATTCTCAAATGACCCTGAGTTCAAATCCTACCTCCACCACTGCCTAATCATAGGTCAGTGAAATCAAGTTACTCAATCTCAACAGTTTCCATACCCTGCCCATAAAATGATGAAATACTGCCTGCCCCGGGGAGTTAAGAAGATGGTTGAATGAGGTAACACAATGCCTAGTACATGATCATAATTTTCTTCACTTAAGGCAGAAACTAAATTCCTTTAAATCTTCTTTAGACCCACCACTATACCACATCTATATGATCAATATGATAATCACTCATGGACTCTCTAATTAACCAGAGACAAACATCATTTAGAAAGAGAAGCTAGGGGCACCTGGGTGGCTCAGTCAGTAAAGCATCTGACTCTTGATCTCGGCTCAGGTTATGATCTTATGGTCTGTGAGATCAAGCCCTACATCAGGCTCCTCGCTGACAGGGCAGAACCTGTTTGGGATTCTCTCTCTCCCTCCCACTCTGCCCCTCCCCCACTTGTGCATGTATGCACACGTGTTCGCTTGTGTGCTCTCTCTCTCAAAATAAATAAATAAACTTAAAAAACAGAACAAAAAAAAAAGGAGCTAAAAAGGAGAGGAAATCATTCGAGCTCTGGAGTCTGCCAAGTTCTGTTCAATCAAGCAAGTCATGGTCATTGCTCTTTCTTGTAGCCATCCTCCTGGGCCAAAGCCAAGCACAGTTGACCTTGGGTTTGAAATGCACCAGTCCACTTATACTGGATTTTTTTTTTTTATAAATACAGTAATATAAATGTATTTCCTCTTATGATTTTCTTAACAAACATTTTCTTTTCTCTAGCTTTCTTTATTGAAGAATATAGTATATAATACATATAACATACAAAAATCAACTGGTTATGTTATCAGTAAGGCTTCCAATCAACACTAGGCTATTAGTAGTTAAGTTTTGGGAACACCAAAAGTTACTCGTGGATTTTCGACTCTACAGAGGGTGATGTCAGTGCCCCTAGCTCCCGTGTTGTTCAAGAGTCAACTGTAGCTATTTTTATATGTCTGAGAGCAATTCACATGGCATAAAATATCTTAACACTGTGCCTTACCATAATAAGTCTTGAAAGCTAAGAAATAAAAGATTTCCACAGTTTCAATATTATAATCAAGTCCTAGAAACAGCCACATCAGCGTAACAATTTTCAATTGATATTTGCTGTTTTAAAACACACACACACACACGCACACACACAGAGTGACCATAAAAATAAGAAACAGAACACTGAAAGAATTAAAGAAAAATGTAAAAAGGGAAAAGGACAATTATACCCTTTTAGCTGTATGGGTTGGGGACAGAGCGGAGGGGATTGAGGAAAAATGTAATTTATTTGTTGCCTTCTCAGCAAACCAAAAGCTTAATGTTATACGATAGGCTCTTTCTCTGATTTCTCATTCTATCAAACATGTGAATTGCATAATATTATGGTGGTACTTTAAATGCTTGATTGTTGGTATTCGCATTTGTTTCTTAGTCTAAGAATTTCTAGAAATAGTGAAAGAATTCAGAAATTCTCAATAATTAATACCATCATTAAACTGTGTATTAAATTAATGATAAAATAACATCAAGAATTAATATCTTTACGGGGGGGGATGTTTTAGAGAAGAACGGAGAACAGAGACATAAAGAAAACATAATGTTTTACCAAAGCAAACATGGAGTAAATGCTGAGACTGAACTTTGATAAATCTCTGGCATTTTATATGAAACACAAAAAATATTATAGTGCAGTAATCCTGGAAGAACTTAAATAAGGAAGTATAAAACAATATGATCAACATCTTAACCCATTATTTAATCACTGATGAAATTTGTATTATATTAATCTCAACTTTAGGACAAAATGGAGTTTGAAGGGCATCATAATTTGGCAAAATTATTTGTATCTTCCACCTTCCACAATAAACACTGATTCACACACACAATTTATTCCTAAGGCTGTTAGGGATATGTACATAGAATGCATAGTTGTGAAGGGAGTCAGTGATGAAAATTAATGCCTTTTAGGAAATAAATTGTTTTTTAAAAATATAAAGTTCAAATATAATCACCTGCGACTGTTCTATTTCTGCTTTGTTTAACTTGATTCCAAGGATTTCAGCAGCAACTTTCTGAAAACACAGGAAGACCTACATAACAAAAATAGGTTTAAATGATTTAAAACAGGCATGCTTAAGTTCCTTCAAATAAATTGAATTTTCTAAAAAATGATAAACAGCAAGAATTGCAAAAATATGATGTACCAGGTTATTCCAAAAATAGCTTTGTCAAATACACTAACATTTTAAGAGTAATAATTTTTTTTAATATTGAATCATAATTTGAAAATCATACAATTCACTAAATTGATCTAAACATAAAGTGGCGCCTGGGTGGCTCAGTCAGTTAAGCATCCGACTTCAGCTCAGGTCATGATCTCGCGGTTTGTGAGTTCAAGCCCCGTGTTGGGCTCTGTGCTGATGACTCAAAGCCTGGAGCCTGTTTCAGATTCTGTGTTTTCCTCTCTCTCTGACCCTCCCCCGTTCATGCTCTGTCTCTCTCTGTCTCAAAAATAAATAAACGTTAAAAAAAAAAAAGATTTTAAACATAAAGATATTTATCCCTAAAAATTTTAATTTTTAAGATTTTAACATGAAACAATTAATTATAGATACCACATTAAAAACAAAACAAACAAACAAAAACTACTAGTATAACAAACTCCTAGAAGTCCTGGAGAAGATGAAAATAAATTAGCCTATACTTCAGTACCCAGGTTTTTCACTGCCAATTCTGTATCCGTTTTTGGTCTAGGTTTAGCCTATCTCAAAAGGTCTTACTTTCCAACCCTTTAATAATCTTTGTGGCTCTCATGGATTTCAATAAATCCTCCGTATATCTTGAGCAAAACAACTTAGTAATGTCTACTGTATTTTATCAGTGCAGAGTAAAAGAACAGTAAACTGTTATCACTAAACAGAAATCAACAATACTTTTCTATAAATAGCCTTTCATACATATGTGACTTATAATGGGCCCACTATGATTCCTAGGGCTCCAATCGCACACTGACTATGATGTATAACTTGTCTTGCTTCGTAAGTGTCTTATCATATTCTTACTCCTACTTATCTCATGATTGCTTACTGAATACTTATTGCAACAAATTTAATTTTGATTTCTAATAAAAAAAAAAAAGATATACATATACCCAACAGGCATATGTTGTTTACATCCTAAAAAGCATTATGCATGATAGTCTGATGGTCAACAGTCAAGGAAAACAAGGAAGCTAGTGTGCTGCAATGGAGACAAAGAGAGGGTTTGTGGAAGAAAATGAGCAAAGAGATGAAGGCAATACAAATCACAAGATCTGGCAGGCTATGGAGGACTTTGGCTTTTACTCTGAGTTAAATGGAAGCCATGGGAAGATGGCCTGATGTGACTTCTATTTTAATGCGGTCAATCTGATGGTTGTATTGAGTATTCTCACTGTAGAAGATCAAGGGTACAAAAAGAGAAGCCAGCAAGGACACTGATGTAAGAGATGATGGCAGCTTGAAACGAAGTGGCAGCAAGGAGAGGGTAAAAAATAGTCACCAAATCCTGCACATATCACGAAAGTAGAGCCAACAGGACTTGGCAATAGACAGATGTGGGGTGTGGGATGTAAAAGAAAGACAGGAGTTGAGACTGATTCTAAAATTTTCTCGGCCTTAGCAACAGTAGAAGATCTGCCGTTTATTGAACTGGGGAAGACAATGAGGGATTTTAGGAGGGACTATCAAGAGTTCAGTTCTGAACCTGAATTAAGTTAGGGCTGCTTATTAGACATCTAAGTGGAGGTGCTGAGCAGACAATTGGATATATGAGTCTTGAGTTTAGGGAAGAGGTCTGGTCAAAGCCCTGAGCCTAAATGAGATGACCAAGGGAGTAAGTTTGGAAAAAGATACCCAAGGACTGAGCCCTAGGGCACTCCAATATTCAGAAGTTGGAGAGAAAAGGAATCAGCAAAATGAAATGAAAGAGAGTAGCTAGCAAGGGAAGAGGAGAACCAGGAAGGGCAGTATCCTGGAAGGTAATGAGGAAAGTATTTCAAAGAAGAGAGAGTGATCAGCTATTTTACGTGCCACAACTAAGTCCAGTAAGATGAGGACTAAGAACTGACCACCGCATTAAGCAAAAAGGAGGTCACTGGTGACTTTAATAACAGTAGTGTGCATCAAATACTGGGGGCAAAAGTCCAACCGCAACTGTTCAAGAGAAACTGCAAAGAAAGAACCGGGAGCTACTCTTTCAAAACATCCCACTGAAACCAGGGGAAAGAAAGAAAGCTAGAGCTCAAGAAGGATGTGGGCTCCACAGTTCCTTGTCTTTACGATAAGAGAAGTCATAATATTTGATATGCAGACAGAATAATCCAATAGACAGAAAACAAGCAATGATGTAGGAAGAAGAGAGAACTGCTGAGCCATGTTCTTCACTAGGCAAGGAGAAATGGGATTAACACACACTGAGCCTGGGAGCACAGAAGGTTTCCCACAGTAATCGTAGAGAAGACAGGAAATATGGGAACAGAGGCAGCAAACATGGCAAGTAGGGGTAAATGTGGCAAGAGTATGCAGCTGTCTTCTGTTGGCTTCAAATTCCTTATAAACTAGGAAAAAAGGCCATCAGCAGAGAGAATGGACGAGGAAATGCTGAAGATCTGAGGAGAGAAGAGAGGTGATAAAAAGTCAACAGCTCATCCTCGGTGAGCAGCAGAGTCATGGCCTAGGGACACGTGGCATAATTACTGGGCAGCATTAAGGGCCTACCTCAGGTTGATGAGTATGAATTTTGAGTGAAACAGCTAGCATGCCTCTGTTCAAATACTTGGGTACGGCCACAAAACAGTGGGGGCTGGCTTTAAACCAGAGTGAAGACTTAGCCAAGTGAGTCTGATACTCTCAAAGTGGGGAAATGGAATTAAGGGCATACGCACAACATAATTTTGATTGCACCTGAGATTTAAGTTAGGAAAATGAGAACATGACAGGAGGTGAGGAACATTAAAAATATGTTCAGATCAGGGTCTATAGGTCCTGCCCAGACTGCAGATTGACTGGATTAGGGCAGTCAGGGGTATGAGCTGGAAAGATGGGAGGGTGGTCAGTGATTAGGACGTCTGACACTGAGACAGAGATAACAAAAGAGCTGCAGTGATTTGTAATGACAGAGCATGGGAGCCAGTGGCTGAGGTGGAGTGGAGGACAAAGAACATGAAATCACCGAGGATTATGACCAAGGTAGTATTAGAGGAAAGTACAGTAAATTAGGAGTGCAACTCCTCAAGCGACGAGGGGAGTAACCTCTAGATGGAGAGGACTACAAGTGTCAAAGTGATTCCATAAGAACAAATGACTTCAAAGTTGCATTTAAAAAGAAAATAATGAGGATTTTTAGTGGTGGCTCAACATAAGTACACAAAAAGTACTGAGTGGTTAAACACAAACTAAAATAGTGGAAGTTAAAATAATTCTAAAATGACAAAAGACTCCAAGGAAGATAAATGAGAGTAGAAGCCCAGCCCATGGATAGACTTACCAAGGAGTACTGATTTTTGTATATTTTTAAGTGGCATGTGTATGTGCTGATGTTTGCATTATCTTGGGGAAAAGGTTTTTCCCATAATAATCAGAAAATAAATAGATAATGAAATCTTTAAAAGTTTAACCTTGATCAATCAAAGAAATTAAAATAGGAAAATACTTTTTTTTTTTTTTTTTGCCTACCAAATTGACAAAGATTTAAAAGTAAATACATAAATCCTGGATGCTAAAAAATAGTGCCATGATATGGCACTCATACAAATGTTGGTGGTAGTATGGATTATTAAATCTATTTAAGTGACATGGCAAAACTTTCTGCATATAAATTTTTAAATAAAAGTAAAACGCAAAATTATTTCTACATTATGATCTTAATTTTTTAAATAAACATTTAGTGCAGTTCAAAACGCTGGAGTGTCACCGCTTGGGTTTACAAATCCTATCCCCACCACTCATTAGCTGTGCACCCTGGACCCCATTACATCATCTCTCCAGGACTCATCCTTAGCACAGAGATAGCGAGAGAATGAGAGAACCACAGTGCAGTCACGAAGCAAGCATTCAGTGAGTTCAATTCGCTAGCAGCAACAGCAGTAATGTTGAGTATTTGTGCGCATCAGAAAAAGAAAACTATAAGGAATCATATGAGGTTGTGAGTGGTCACCTCTGGATGCTGACATAATGTATGATTTATACGTTCTTTTTCTTTTCTTATGTTCTTTTTTTTTTTTTTAATTTTTTTTTTCAACGTTTATTTATTTTTGGGACAGAGAGAGACAGAGCATGAACAGGCGAGGGGCAGAGAGAGAGGGAGACAGAATCGGAAACAGGCTCCAGGCTCTGAGCCATCAGCCCAGAGCCCGACGCGGGGCTCGAACTCACGGACCGCGAGATCGTGACCTGGCTGAAGTCAGACGCTTAACCGACTGCGCCACCCAGGCGCCCCTCTTATGTTCTTTTTAACTCTCATATTTTTAAATTCCCTAAAATATCCATAAAATTACGTTAAATGAATTGCAAATGTAATACAGACCAATTAAACATTATATCTATTTTATATCTTCAACAGGAATCAATTTGTTCCAAAAGTTGTCTGGGAAGTATACTTCCTATGAATATTAGTAATAAACAAAAGATCACTTATAATATGCAGTATTCATTATTTTACTTACAGAGTCTCCTGTCTTTGCTGAGACAAAGTGGCTACTAAAACCATTTTCCTGGCAAAACCGTAAATGTTTATCAGGTTTTACTGTTCGCATATGCTCCAAATCAACTAGAAAAGTGAACAAAAACAAACAGAACAAAACTCAGTATCAGAGTCAATCAATACATTGTTAACAAGTTTAACTGTGACTTACTTTCCAATATTATATCCCAGCTTAGACACTATCTGTGTAACCTTGAGCAATTTCTTTAACCTCTTTATGCTTGAGTCTATAAATCTAAAAACGGAGAATAACAAATAGACCTCCCTCATATAGAGTTATTTGAGAATGACTCCATGAACATTGCACAATGACCAGTACATGAAAAGTGCTCAAAAAATGGAAAGTACTCATTCCTATTATCTACAGCCTCAGGCACACTGATGAGACACGAAAAAGATCTCATCTTGGCATCACATGTTTAAACACAATGATTACAGTGGACTGTTGAACATCATGGGTTTGAACTTACACGTGGACTTCTACTGTATAGTACTCTAAATGTATTTTCTCTTCCTTATGACTTGCTTGATAGCATTCTTTTCTCTACCTTACTTTACTGAAAGAATATATAATACATATAGCAAATAAAAAAATGTGTTCATTGACAGTTTATGTTATCAGTAAGCCTTCCGGTCAAGAGCAGGCTGTTAGTGGTTATGTTTTGGGGAAGCCAAAAGTTATACATAGATTTTTGACTATGCGAGGGATGGGCACACCTAACCCCCATGTTGTTCAAAGGTCACTGTAATTGAAAGCAAGATGCACTTCCCCAACCATATTTAGTTTGAAACAACTTAATTACCTTAATAATTACAATAGTTCTATAATCCCTAGAAACTTTAATGTTAACACAAATACAAATTAATTTTGTGCCAAAAGATAACAATATTTTGTTGCATGTTTATTTATAGCCACAGTTTGATTTCACAAAGATACAGCTCAGTTGCTTTCCAAATCTAAAGTGTACATTTTGAAAGTAATGGGCAAGCGAATATTTCCTTGAAAGTTGTAGGTACTTTAAAGCAAAGCACGGTACCAAAGCCAATACTGGCTTTATCCAGCACAGTCTATTTTTTCAAATGTGATCCTTTATTGAATAGTTTCTCCTTTTACAACACTACAGACCCTATAAGGGTGTTGACTCAATGCCGTCAAATTAGAAGGCAAATATATTCACAGGATTTAAGGACAACTAGGCTCTTTGAGTCAATATAGGAAAAAAAAACTTAAACTGATTTCCTGAGGAAGGGACCCAACTGACTTGTAAAAACTTGTAAATTTGCAAATCTACTAAGCCTACATAATAGTGGCAATTGATTATCAACTAAAAAATGCTCTCATACTACATAAAAGGCTTTATTTAATATTATATCGAAGGTCTTTAGTTTGTAGGCTCAACAGATCTTTCTCTAGGAGATTTCTGATCTAGTGGGGGATTTCTGAGTCCCATTTACACTGCTTAGCTTGGATAATGTGGAGCTTTTTTCCTTTCTGGCCACAAGTGCTGTTCCTTAAACATCACTGAGACCTTATTTACAAGAACAAGCCAAAAAATGTCCAGATACCACAGGCATCAATTTGTAGAAGACTAAAATACTGAGCTATTAGCACTGACATTTATACATCTAGTTTATCATAATATTGAGGCTAAAATGCTTTCCTAATGCAACATGAGTAAGAACAAATCATGTCACTAAGAAAATTACCCAATGAAATCACTGTCCAATTAAAAAGAAACAAACATGAAGTTTGTCACTTAATGTGTGTGCGCATTTGTCTTTTCAAATGGAATAGTCTATCAGTGTTCTGTTTTTTCTTTCTCTTTCTTCCTCCCTACCACCTGCCCCCCAACTCCCTAACTACCACTTACATTTATCTATAGCATTGGGGAATTAACCACCCAAGTACAGGTTTTTTTCCTAATAAAGATACTAAAGAAACTAGTACTATCACTGGTCAACTGAAAACAGCAGCAACATTTATCCAACAAACATTTATTGAGCACCTATTATATACCAAGCACTGTGGGAGGCAGTGAGAACCCAAAGATAAAAAACCTATAAGCCATGGGGCGCCTGGGTGACTCAGTCAGTTAACTGTCTAACTTCGGCTCAGATCATGATCTCACGGCTCACAAGTTCGAGTCCCACATCGGGCTCTGTGCTGACAGCTCAGAGCCTGGAGCCTGCTTCGGATGCGTGTCTCCCTCTCTCTCTGCCCCTTCCCCTCTCTCTCTCTCTCTCTCTCTCTCTCTCAAAAATAAACATTAAAAATAAAAAAGAAAGAAAAGACAAAAAGAAAAATATACAATCCAGGTTCTAAAAAAGCCACCACCCTACTTTAAGAACATAAAAGACCATCAGAAACGTTATTTTAAATAACAGAGTCTGACAAAGGAGACAGCAGATCAAGAAAAGGCCCTCACAGAACTTCACCACAAAGTTTCCCTCTGTTCTGTTAGAATTTAGTGGGCAACCCTGAAGAGGACACAGTTACTAGAATACTTAATGCTAAATAACCCAGAAATGTACACCCTGAAGATAAAGTTATGGTGAGACAATGCTAAAATCTTTCCTTTCTTCGCTTTTAAGAGCATCCTTAAGATTATCCAGTAGTCATCTATCATACATGCGATAATACTCTCACTGCTACCGTTTAATTTCTTTTATGTCCTTCAGTGAGCTACATCATCTTTCCAGTTCTCATATTTTATTTTTGAAAATGGAATAAAAATTTCCTAATAACAGTAATACATACTCATTTCCCAAACATTCTGGCGTATATCCTTCCAATATCTAAGCAACTGAAGGACAAAGGCATTAACATCATACATACGTGCAATTCCTTTCACCTCAATCACACTACAACTGTGCTTAAACATGGACTTAACAATCCCTTTTTTTTTTTAATTTTTTAAATGTTTACTTTTGAAGGAGAGAGAGACAGAGTGTGAGCAGGGGAGGGGCAGAGAGAGAGGGAGACACAGAATCCGAAGCAGGCTCCAGACTCCAAGCTGTGAGCACAGAGCCCGACACAGGGCTTGAACCCACAAACCGTGAGATCGGGACCTGAGCCAAAGTTGGATGCTCAACCAAATGGGCCACCCAGGCTCCCCTGGGCTTAACAATTTCTAAGGACAGCCACTTTATTGATCATTCATTCATTTGGTTATATAGGAGTGCTTATTATGGCCAGGCACTGTCCTGGGTGCTGGGGACCCAAGGAGCTTACATTATAGTAAAGGCAAGAGACTGACAAATAAAATAACATAGTATGGCAACTGCTAATAGATCTTATGGAGAAAAATAAAGGGCACAGGAGGGGAAGTACTATTTTAAACAGGTAAGCCAAAGACCTTCAGAAGGCTAAGGGGCAAGGAAATCTGGGAAAAGCCTTCCAAGCAGAAGAAACTGTAAGGGCAACGTCATTAAAGGAAGATTATGCATAGCAGTTAAAGAAAAGCCAGGAGGCCAGAGTGGCTGAAATGAGTTAACAAGAAAGGGAAACAGTAGGGAATGAGGTTTAAAAAGCTAGGAACCAGATCACAAAGGGTGTGCAGGTCACATTTTATAAGGTTAATATGGGCTGCTGCAGAGAATAAACTACAGAGTCACATATAAAGCAGAGAAGCCACTGAAGAAACTACTGTAAAAATCTAAGAAAACAAACAAACAAAACCATCAGGAAAGAAAGCAGAGCCAAGAGAGACTGGGTTGCAGAGATTGTACGTATTTTTTAAGTCCCTGGATCACACCACACCTGAACACAGCATAGTTATTGGGTTTTTCAGTTATGTAAGGCAATAAAATTCCCTCTAATCTTGTCCAAATATATATATATTTCATATATATATATATGAAAGAGAACATGGTACTTTGGACAATACTCTAGTTGGTAGCAGTAGAGATGATAAAAAGTAGGGCAGATTCTCAATATATTTTTGGAATAAAAAGTAAATACAAAATACTAATGGATTTGATGTGGGATGTGAGAGATTCTGAGAAATCACTTGCAGATAGTAACCTGGATTTAAAATGAGACACAGTATATTACAGGTCTTATTCCAGCCACATTCAGCTACATGGGTGGGGGTGCATTCAAGCAGAGAAATTACTTACTAATTAAACAGAGAAACTGTACCACGTACAATCACTGCAAAGAAGGCCAGGTAAATTGAGGACAGTAAACGTAAGGAAGTGATTATTTTGATGAAGCATAAAATCCAAGTTGGGTAAAGAGAGGTTCAGGAAATTGAAAACTGTTAAGATGTAATTGATAACTGATGTTAAGGTTTTGTGTGGGTCGAAAATTTACTGGAGTTGAGTTACTAAAGAAGCTGAGTTGGAAAGACAGGAGATAATGGACAGATTGGGATATACGAAATTAATATCAATACTATGGGAAAAGCTCAGAAACTGTTAATGACTAGGTCTTCAGAATAACTCTGTTGGTGTCGATCGGGGGCAAGATGACTGGAGGTAAAGGATTCATGGAACATGAGAGACCAAGGACAGTCCATATGGATACTGAAACTACCGAGAATGGTGACAGTAACAGCAACGGTGTGACTGTAATCCATCCAGGAGAAATTTCTCTGAGAAATTCAAGGAATGATTCAGGCAGGGGTTGGCTGATAAGGCCAACAAATACAAGTACCAAGAGGTATAATCACATGGCTTGATATTCAAATCTAAGGGTTTTAGGGAAGACAAAGGAGAATGGTCTGAAAAGAGGCATTTGAACAAGGCCACCTATCCCACCTCCAGTCCTTACTGATAAGGTAGATAATGGGTCTTTAGGTATTGGGTCCTGAATCATTAGTTAACTGAGCTAACAACTCAAGACCCAATCTTGAATCTAAAGTTGTCACTTCATCCTTCATTTGGCCCTAATTCCAATGGAATACTAACTCCATAAGTTGATGTGATGGTTCAAAATTTATCCACGTGGGTAACTTTCAGGATAAAGTGGCCTGTATATGAGGATACAGAGACCGATTTTATGAGTAACAAGAAGTAAATGATGTTTAATAAACAATTATTCTAATAAGTCACATCACATCAAA